GGCGGTTCAACAAGATATTGAAACAATAATATTTTTGTAAGAAGTTTGGGCCAAACTTTAATTTATGAAGAAATTATATTATGTTTCTATTTTTTTTTCCAGGCCAAAATTAGAAAATGGACCAGAATTTATTTGTGTCTTATAGCACTTGCTAAATAAATCTAGATTTTGATTAACTTTGACAAATATATTAAATCGTAATGTATTTAAATTGAAAGAATTCTACAAACAATAAAAATATATTGAAAACTGTACGTTTCTATTATTTTTTCCAACACTGTATATATGAGTGTATGTGTATTAAAAAGCAGAAATGCCAATAATTAAAATTTTTGCAGGCAAAAGATCAAAAGAATTTTATGAAAGGATACAACGAAAGAAGCTGAGCGATTTAGCTGTGCGTCGCCAAGGGAAACAGAAATAAATACCGACTCATTACGACAGAAATGTATACATATGTACATATATACTTACATACATGAGTACGTATTTATCTACGCTACTACTGTTATTGAGATAATGTAAAAGGGTTTTTCAATATGCGGATTGGATGGTGGATGGATGGTGTGGATTGGTGGATTTGGAATTATGGAATTTTCGGCGGCTGCAGCTGTCTGTGCTTCTGTTAAAGGAAAGCATATTCGTTAACTTTCGGCAGAGTATTTTAAGAGTAACGGCATATTAAAGCTTAGCTTTATACAGTCTAGTCTACCAAACAGATTGTCAAGTTCAGTTTTGTCGCGTGAAGCGGCTGGTATATAAGTGTTAGCTAAGCTCGAAGTCATCATAATCTCAAGCATTCCATGTCAACTAAATCACTCGATCAGAAATCATCCAAAATAAAATATATTCTCGATTTATGAACTGCCTTAGTCACACAGGAACATATTTGATACTGATGTTACTGAAGCTCGTGTGAACCCTCGATTCCTCGTACGAAAATTTAAATTATCAAAGCACCAATTTGTGCCAAATGTCAACCCCTTTATCTTTGCTAAGCGAAACAAATTGAATACTTCGCATTTGGATATCAAAGCAACACTAAAACTCAAAAAGGTAAGAGGATATTAATATGCAGATGTTGAAAAACTACATAAAAACAAGTAAGGAAGGGTTAAGTTCAGGTACAACCGAACATTTTATACTCTTGCAAGTTGGCAAGAATCAAAGCCAGGGAATTATCAATGAGCGATTTTTCGTAAAAAGTCATATTGAGGTTGAAATGACACTTTTAGTGTACCGTTATATGGGAAAAGGGTGGGGTAGTCATCAGATGTCATCCATCGTTCACACTGTAGGTAATAGTTGTTATAAGAATTTTCCTAAGCGAACTTAGCAATTGTAGCTTTACTGGTATAGAAACCTATTAGAGAGCGGGGCCATGCCCACTTTTCCAACATTTTTAGCCCACATGTGCCAAAATACAGTTCTACATATATCTTAATTTAGTACTTATTTATGATCTTGTATACGTTGTCGGTTAATCGCTATTGTGGGCGTGGAAGTGGTCCGATTACCCTTATCTATGAACTCCGGATTACTTTTTTCCAAGGAACATGTGTACAAAGTTTCAACAATCTATATCAATTTTTACTCAAATTACAGCTTGCACGGAGGGACAGGGCTCAATTAGAGGAATACCACGGCGTACAAATATCTGCGCAAACTGTACGAAGACGACTACAAGAAAATTCATTGAATGGCCGTTTTCCAAGACGAAAACCTAACGTTCCAAAAAAATATATTGAAAAGCGAAAAGCGTTTGCTAAAGACCATCTCTGGAAGGACTCTAAATTTTGAAATTTGGTGGTTTGGAGTGACGAATCCAAATTTAGTGTATTTGGTAATGATGGGAAACCATATTTAGGACGACTCCCTTTGCAAGAACTCAATCCCAAATACACTAAAAAAACCATGAAATATGGCGGTTCATCGGTGATGGTGTGGGGTTGCTTCACGTCATCAGGCGTTGGCCCGATTGTTAAAATAGACGGGMAAATGACAGGTGAAATGTACAAAGGAATACTGGAGAACAATTTMGACGGTGATTATGTGGACAACTTACCGTTAGCTTGGATTTTCCAGCACKATAACGACCCCAAACACTGCTCGCGGGTCGTTAAAACTTGGATACGTAGTCGAAATAYTRAAATTCTGGATTGGCCAGCTCAAAGTCCGGACCTAAACCCCATAGAAAACCTATGGGGGATTATAAAAAGAGCCGAATCTGCATTCTTTATGGGAAATAATACAGGCAGAGTGGTACAAAATAAGTCCCGCTCAATGTGCTACTTTAGTCTAAACAATGCCTAAACGATGTACTGAGGTGCTACGTAATGAAGGTTATCCAACTAAGTATTAGTCTTAGGTAAGGTAAAACTGTAAAAAAATACGACTAGTATACGACTTCGAATAACTACATTTTTCTTTAGGTGACTTAATTATATGAGCACAACAACATGGATGGGCTAAGCGAATGAACGCAATATTTTTATTATTTTAGAAGTTAAATAAAAAATAAGCATTCTGTTTTGAACTGAATTAAAATTTCTTCCATTTTTTGTAAAATTAAGTTTCATTCCTGTACCATAGAAGTTGCTTTGAATAAACTTTCCTTCTGTTACTGGCGTGACTTAATTATGTGAGCACAAGTGTACATATTAGGTTGTCAAAAAAGTCTTGCGGTATTTTAGCTAGTTGCCGCTGAGAGCGCGTAGTTCTAGTTTTATTCGTCGCATCGGGTCATGCTATATCTTTTTCAAGCTCATTTCACACGCTAGCACGTGCTTGATTGATTGAATAAGAGAATAGAATATTTTGCAGTACTACTACGATAAAGGCAAAAATGCATCTCAAGCCGCCAATAAAATTTGTGCATTTGTTTATGGACCCGATACAGTTTCCATTTCCACCGCACAACAATTCAACGTTTTCGTTCTGTTGTAGAGGTGGTCGAAGATGCGCCACACTCCGGAAGGCCCGTCGTCGAAAACTGCGATAAAATCGCTGAATTGGTCGAAAGAGACCGGCATAGTAGCATCCGTAGTATTGGTCAAGAGCTGGGCATGAGTCATCAAACCGTTATAAAATTAATAACAAAAACAAAAAAAACCGCAAGACTTTTCTATTACATTTCCACAGCTAGGTGAACAAACCTATTATACTCTGTAACGACATGTTGCAAGAGTGTAAATACATCTAAATATCAGCGCGACAATTTCGACGTAGATAAGTATGCATGTATGTATGTGTGTCAAGTAGACAGACACGTGTACAAGTGCTAAGAAGACTGAAGCGAGTTCTGCATCAAGTGTTTGTGTGAGAGCGACAAAGGCGTTGTAATGTTTGGCCAAACGCAAGGCTTGTAATTAAACTGATAGACATACCACAGGGAATCAGTTATATTGCCCACACACACACACACACCACACACACCACACACACCACACACACATACACACATAGATGGTGGGCATAGACACAAATTGTTTGTGCGCGTTTGAAGTGCCTTTTAAAGCTTCCTAGTTAACACTTCAAAATATGATAAACAAATAAATGAAAGAACTAAGTACTAGCCGACTGAATGCGGCGCCAACAGCCTGTTAGCCACCATAAATCCACATGAGTGGGTTTGTGTGTGCGTGTGTGTAAAAGTGCCCCGTTATGTTTGGTTTAAACGTGATGGCGGCTCAATGGTTGCTTGCTTACGGGCTGAAAGCATCAAGTGTGTGTGCCACAACTGGCGGAAGTTATCAACCGCAATACGCTGGCAAACAACAACAACGCTACTTCCACAACAGCAACAGTAAAGCGAACTATGAGTGCCGCTAGGAGCTAGTGTTGTTGCTGTATTCGCACTATTCGCGCACACAAAACGGGCATTTATTGTAGATTTGTTTGCGGAATAGGATAGGGTTTGCTGCTATTTCCATTACAAAAACAACAGCAAAAACAACTATTCAGTTAGTGCTAATAGTATCCGGAGCATATGCAGTATTAGCAAGGCGGCCCTACACCCACACTCACATACTTACACTTACACATACACACACACATGAAATTTTAGAAATATATGTATGTACAATACGTATGCATTCTGGCGCTTTGAGTGCGAAACTTTGCCAGCAGCAAAAAGCCAAAGTCACTGAATGAGTGAATGAATGATTATTGTTGTTGTATTGTATTACATTAAAAACGCTTGTTGCTGCATTAATACACACAAACATACACATGGACGCCGCCAATCTGTCTGCTTCTTTGGCAATGCCTTTTGATTTTGTTATGGCATGATGTTTCTTTTGAATATTTTTGTTGTAATTGTTGCTGGCAAATTTGCGGCACATTTCCTTTTAGGATATACCCAACTTTTTTTCCCACTGCATTTTGCTTTCATGTGGCCCAGTGCGCCGCTCTTCCTTTTGTGAGTCAAAAACGCTTACTTTTTGTTCTTCTGTATGGGTGTGTGTGTGAGTGTTGGTGGGATTACGTGCGGCTTTGGCTTTTAATTCACACCACTTGTAGCTCAGCACTCACAATAGTTGGCTATGCCTCCTCCAGCCCTACCGCCTGCTTCGTGCCTCTTCAGTGGTGCCAATACCCACGAGGCTCGTCGCAGAGCACAGGGTGCGAAATTGTCGAAGCGAAAAGCGTACAAAACAACAATAATAACAAAAAAAAAAAAAAAACAAAAACAGCAGTTGAAAAATAGTAGTCCCTCAAGTGCACTACAAAACTTTGCAACTCAAGTGTGAAATAACGAAACTGCTCTCGATTGTGCATTAATTTTATGCATTAATGAGCGCACAGTTTGCATCGGAGCGGGCAGCGCGGATGTCAATGAAGAAGAAATGGAAATTGTTTGTTATTCCTGTGCATAAAATTAAGTGGTCGGTCTTATGTTGTAACAATTTGGTAGTTGTGGGCATTTTTTTCTTTAACATTTTATGGTGATTTGAAGACCAATTTGTGGTGCGGTGAATAAATGGTGTGGAAAACAAATAAATACGAGGAATAACGGTTAATTTGACAGGATTGCATTATAAAAGGACAATCTTAAGCTAAATAGAAGCAAAAAAAAATATATATAAATATGTGACCTTTTTGACACCTAAGCCCCCTTCCATAGAACAGGTCACATATATGTATAAATTGTGTCTAAAAAGCACCCGTAAATTGACGTTAAATTCATTGGATAAATGATATTTCAAAAAAATGTATTTTACTAAGTTGGTAAGGGCACTCCAATCGCTATGCCAAATATGAGCGCTATCTGTCAACTAATTTGTTTATAGCAGCTGCTTAAGTCGGTACACATCAGTGGTGCATTGCAATTTTTTTTTTTAGTTTTAGTCTTATTTTGTGAGCGGAATTGTTGCGAATGTTTGAAAGGGCCTACGGTGATTCAGTTTTATCAAAAACACAAGCCTACGTGTGGTACTAAGCCTTCAAAGACGGTCGAGAGATCCTTGAAGACAAGCCACTTTCTGAACGACCTTCAACCTCTTCAACTGACGAATATTAAAAAGCGAAGACTATTATTCTTAAAATCCTCAACCAATCGTTAGAGAGATGGCAAGCGAGCTTAAGATCTCGCGCGAGTCCGTTCGAATAATTTTGGTGGGTATTTTTGGTATGAAACGCGTTCTTGCACGACTCGTCCCGATAAAGCTGAATTTTTTTCAAAAAGAATATCGTAAAAAGATCATTGTGCAAATTCCGATACCACATTCGGAATTGCATTACAACTGGCGATGAGACATGAATTTATGAGTTTGACAAGCAAAGACGTGCACAATCATCGGAATGGAGGGAAAACCGCCAAAGCCGCTCAATAATCAAGGCGATACTCATTGTTTTTTCGATATTCGTGGTTTGGTACATTATGAATTTGTTTCGGAGAAATAAACGGTCAATAAGAACTTCTATTTGACCGTATTGAGCCGATTGGGTGAGAACATCCGTCGAAAATAGCCGGAATTGTGGAAGAACAATTTATAGATTTTACACGATGATAATCGATACCACATATCGGGCCACGATTATGAACGAATTTAAAGTCAAAATCGCAATGAGTACCATCGTTCAACTGCCGTATTTACTAGATTTCATTCCGTGTGATGTTTTCATAACCCCAAACTGTAATTGTCGCTCGATGAAATCCGTTTTTAATCGATCGAAGAGATGAAAAGAAGTACGCTGTAGTAGCTGAATCCATCTAAAAAATATTTATAAAAATTGTTTCGAGGACTGCAAATATTGTTGATATAAGTCTAATACTTTTGGTGGGAATTACTTTGAAGGCAACCAAAAATTGATGAATAATTATTTTGCGATTTTTTACAATTTCCAGGTACGCTTTTGTCAGAATGTATATGCGTGTTTTGTAAACAAACATTAACTACGGTTGCACCGCAGCTAGAATACTCTTCACAGGTGTAAAATAATGCAAAAAAAGACTCAATATTTGAATTTTTCACATAAATTTTGAGGTTATGTGAAAAAGGTGTTAATGCAATAGTTATAGATCTTTTCATTTACTACTAATTTGTCATATAACTTTTTTCTGTAGGACTCGTAGTTTTACCGGAAAGCAAAATTAACAGTTTTTAATATATATGTCTGTGCCCAAAAAATAAGGTGACATTTGAATTTAAACTGCGCGTGTCGAAGGATTTGGAGAATGATTTCTTTTTTAAGTTGGTAGTACTGTCAGTCACATTTATGTCAAATTTCATGTCAAAATATTATTAGTGTTTGAGATACGTATCGTTTTGTGAGCTGCTAAAGGTGAGTTTTTCGTTTTTTGCGATGTCGAAATTTGTTGGGCAAAGAATTTGCATAAAATTTTGTTTACGTAATCAATTTTCTGCTGCGGATACGTTGAGGATGGTGCAGGCAGCCTTTGGTGACGAGACTATGTCTAAAAAAAAATTTTTACAAGTGGTATAGTGAGTTCCAAGCCGGCCGTGAACGTGTCGAAGACGAAGAGCGTCCAGGGCGACCATCRACCTCAACCGACGAAGCTCACGTTCAACAAATCAAAGATTTGGTGTTGAAAACCCGTCGATTAAAAATTAGAGACCTTACTGATGAAGTTGGCATATCGAAAGGCTCAGCCAATACCATTTTGAAGTACCG